AGCAGGCACCTCAACTTCCTGCTCCATTTCTTTCTCGTCGGCTGGAAGTGCTGAAGCAGGTGGCTCTTTCGCCCGTTTGGCCTGGACATGTGCAATCACTTTGCCGCTCCTTGTAGTGACGTCATTCCAGTGGGCATTCGGGCTACGACATAGCTCTGGGAAGGCTACCGAGCTGGAGTTGCATGTCCTTCAAGACAGTCATTGTATTTCTCTGGTTTGTTTCGAGCTGCAAAAACTTCACGGAAGCCTTCTCCATGACCTACTCTAGGTTGCCGAATTTAGTAGCACTGGTGTTGGCAAGGCCTGCCAATACGTCGGGCAATTCGAACATAGGGTCAGTCTGAAATGGGGCTGGCGCCGTGGGTCCCAGCTGCTAAAATGGTCTCTGCTGTGGCTGAACGATAGCTTGCTCCTGCCTGGCCGAATAGAGTTGTTGCTGCTGCTGAGGCTGGAATTGACCCTAGCGGTCGTGGTATGGTGGCCTCTAAAAATGTGGAGGTCCCTGGGAGACTGGTGGCTTAGGATTATTATTACCATTCCAAGAGAATTTGGGATGCTAGCGCCACCCCTCGTTATAAGTGTTACTATTGGGGTCGAAACGACGAGCATTTTTGATGAAGTCCATATGCTCTTGGGGGGTGGTAGACTCCCTCATCGCATGGCAGTCTTCCACCGTGTGGTGGTTCCTCTTGCACCACTGCATTGCGCCACCGGCTATTACACCGATCCGCCAAAGATCATGCCATCTTTATCCAGTTGCAAGACCAGCTTTGAGACAAGCTGCACCAAGTCAAACGACTGGGTGTCTAAGGCATGCACACCCCGACCTGGTGCTTGCCTCGATCTTCTAGAAGTCCCCCAATTATATCCCTTCTCTGCCATCTGCTCAAATGGCTGATTAAACTGTGGTGGTGTCGTGGTCAACATGTTTACGCCACACATCGAGTCGATCAGCTGCTTATCTTTAGGGAAGATAGCCCGGTAGAAGGTACCCCCTTGAAAGCGTCGTTGAAGCCATGATTGGGACACTTTAGGAAGAGACTGATGTATCTCTCCCACGCATCCTGGATGGTCTTATCTTCTTCTTGTGAAAAATGAGTGATCTCCTTCTGCAGGTCCCCGGTCTTAGATGGGGGATGATAGCGGGTGAGGAACTGATCGGCCAGGCTGGTGAATGTAGTGATCGATCCTGAAGGCCGGGTATCCAACCACTCCTTTGCCTGTCCCTCTAGAGTAAATGGGAAGTACCTCAGCTGGATGGCTTCTGTAGGGACCCCATTAATCTTGATTCCATGGATCAACTCGTGGAATCTCCTTAGGCGCGATCTGGGGCACTCGCCCAATTTCCCATGGAATACCACTGAGCTGCACAACATGGTGATGACAGAGGTGCTCACCTCAATTTGTTAGCTGGAACTTGAGGGTGCTGGATGGTCGACCTCATGTATGCGCCTCTGGCGGTCCAGTAGTATCGCATGGTATGCTCATCGGGAATAATTTCCCCGCCATTGTTGGGTTCACCCATGCCATACTCCTGGTTGATGTTCACCTGCTCCAAAGTTTCCTCCACAGCCAGTCACGTCTTCAAAGTTCGCTTGAGGTTACGACAGGTTCGTTCGAGCTCTTGATCTAACAGATATAGCACTCCCGACTGGCTACGACTCATGCACTACCTGCACACAGACTACAAGCACAACCCGTGAAGGCACACAGGGGGAAGAAGGAAAATGCAGAAAAGTAAATGCTAAAGTAACAGATGTTCACGTTTCTTCAGTAACCTAGAGGGTCCCTGGCAAAGGTGCCAAAAACATGACACACTATGACACAACACCAAACTGCGACCAAGTGTAATCGCAGAATGGAAATGCAGAATAGTGGTTTAGGCTAAATTATCGACCCGTGCTCTAGATCTACTGCCTACTCAACGAACTTCTATTATCTAGCGGGACTAAGTGAGTGAAGTGATTTCAAAGCAAAAGAAATGAAAAGCAAGTAATGTTCTAGTTCTTTTTCAGGTGCTAAAGGTCATCCAGGTATGGGTCCCCCTAATATGTAGCTAGTTCAGGTTATATGTTCCCAATTCACTCAGATTGATAGATAAACCACGGAAAGTTTTTAACTGATCTGGACTCTCGACTAAAGTTATCCAGACCCTCTTGATTCGAATACCCGACAGGCGACTAACCTCCACCGACATATACACTAACCGAGGTTAAACGCATGAAACTTCCTCTATTGACGCTTGCTCCAGCACGGAGCACTGAATCGACTTCTCGACTAAAGTAGTCGATTCACCATTTTCAATTCAAGGTTGTTCTTTTAACCTATGAAGAGACTAACGTTCTAGATTAAAGGGGGAATTACACTGGTTTGATCAAGACTCGTGCAATTCTGAATAATTCCTCAATTGAATTTATCAAATCAAGCATTCGCAAATGGAGTTCATACAATCATTCCTACATACACAGCTAGTGTTCTTCATACCCAGATAAAATGGAAAATTACTCCATAGTGAGATGTGAGAACGTCATGCTCGGAGAAGACATTATCAAAACGACAATGGGAATTTGCTCCTGGCGGCTAATCGATACTCCGAGGTTGAGGAATCGAGCTCCGAAGACTTCAGATCGCTCCAATCCTTGCCCAAGGATTTCTCTTCGTCACTCTCTCTAGGGTTCTTTTTTAGGGTTACTATTTGCCGCCCGGGTAATTACTATTTGCCGCCCGTAAAAAACACTAAAAAGACAATTTTGCCCTACAATTTTTTTTTATATTCTATTCACTGAAATGGTTTTTTAAACAACATACACACCACCCGACCACCAACCCCCACAAACACCATAGCCAGATTCACGGCCACCGTACCAATCTCGTCAGCATAATTCGCCGGCCACTGGACGGCACCCGTACCCCATCGTCGGACTAGCGAATCAAGTAAACCCCCGTGAATGACCTCCTGACCTGTAAAATTTTTGCCCGTCCGCTCGCCGGTGTCTGACCCCATCCGCTCGTCTGCGTCGGACCACGTACGCCCGACGGCGTCGGGCCCCGTCCGCTCACTTTCTTCGGACGGCGTCCGACGCCGGCGAGCGGAGCCAGTGGACGGGGTCCGACGCCGGCGAGCGGACGGCGCCCGTTGCCGGCGAGCGGATGCTGATAGCCGTCAGTGTTCTTTTTTTTTTTTTAATTTGAGACATATTATTAATTCTTTAGCTAATAATTTCTATTTAATTTATTGCTTTTATTTGTATTTTACATAGTTAAATTCATATGTAGTTTGAATTAAGCGATTGTATTTTGTTGTAGTGCTAATTAGTTTCTTACTGTCAAATTATCGTTATTTTTTAGAGTTAATTAAATTATTGCATTTATTTTAATTTTGGAGAGTCAATTGAAGCACAATTAGTTTGAATTAAGCGATTGTATTCTGTTGTAGCGCTAATTAGTTTATCGTGTTTAGATTTAATTCGTAGAGCTAAAGAAGTTTAATAATTTATATTTAAATAATTTTATTATCGTCAAATTTTCGTTATTTTGTAGAGTTAATTAAATTATTGCATTTAGTTTAATTTTATAGATTCAATTGAAGCATAATTAGTTTAATTAAGCGATTGTGTTTTGTTGTAGCACTAATTAGTTTATTGTGTTTAGATTTAATTCGTAGAGCTAAAGAAGTTTAATAATTTATATTTAAATAATTGTTTTATCGTCAAATTATCGTAATTTTGTAGAGTTAATTAAATTATTGCATTTAGTTTAATTTTGTAGAGTCAATTGAAGCATAATTAGTTTAATTAAGTGAGTGTGTTTTGTTGTAGCGCTAATTAGTTTATTGTGTTTAGATTTAATTCATAGAGCTAAAGAAGTTTAATAATTTATATTCAAATAATTTTTTTATCATCAAATTATCGTTATTTTTTTAGTTAATTAAATTATTGCATTTAGTTTAATTTTGTAGATTCATATAATTTGTACCTTTCTAACGAGTTGTAAAATCATAATTGCAAGTGGACATTGCTTACAATGTTGAACTAATTGGTGATTACACAGACCATTTTCTCAATGACGTCCGATATGACATTTTCGAAGATGCTGTAACAGTGACCAAAAACATCTCGATGTCTCTTGGTTTCTTTGTAACTAAGGGATCGATGAAGCCACGTGAGTTGCACAACAATAAAGTATTGGGTATGTGTTATATGTATTGCGACAGATGTAGTAGGGATAGGAAGTCATACAAGCCGGATCCTTCCAAGGAGAGTTGTGGCAATACAAGTTCAAAAGGACCGGGATGCATGTTCAAGGTTAAAATCAAAGAACTACCGTTGATCCAGATGCTCTTGATGGACCTTCATTCTGGGAGATACAAGCAGTGATTGAGCAAGAAACCGTTTTAAGGCGAGGGTATCACAATCATGAGAAGATGCTTTATCCCTAGGGCCACAGTCAAATGAATAAATTGAGTGAGGAGGATAAAGAATCTCTGAAGCAGATGAGAGATGCTGGGGTACCTCCGTCGCAACAAAAGCAGACAATAAACAAGCAGAAGGGTGACACAGGGCATCACACCCAAAGGCAGATGTATAACATCCGAAGTACAACATAAACCACATAAGTCATAATCATATACAACAAATAACATAAGTCATAGTCTAAAAACAACAATTAAGCAACTGAACACCACATAACATAAGTCGTAGTAGAACAACAGAATAACATAAGTCAACTCGTCTAAAAACAACAAATAACACTCATACATATGACATAATAATCATACAACTACTGTGGAGGTGGTAGAAAACCCGACTTCCTCCTAAACTCGGGCCACATGTTCCCAACTCCATGACATAAGTCGTAGTACTCGTTGGCGCTAGCCATCCACTCCTCCCTACTACCCTGTGCAGCATCCATCACGGGAGATATCTCAATCCACATCTCGCGTGACAACTGTAAACAAAAACCATACAATTTAAATTCATATTAGTTGCAATCAATTTTTTTTACTTAATACAAATAATTTCAAATATGATCGTACTAACCGTATCAGCATCCGAGATATCGCGACGAGGTCGGCTGTCACTCAGTATTTGTGGGTGCGAGTGCCTAATGTACCACCCCATGTAATCCTTAGCAAACTCCAATGGCCTACGTCGTACCAGAGTAGAATAAAGGTCCAGATGCACACTATGCGCCCCCAAGTTGTTCCACCACGAATCATAAACAGACTGGTAGCTAAGAGAGTATCCAAGCATGGAAGCAGGTCGACGCACAACAAGCGGACGCTCCGGGGGATATGGTACACTCTGCACATAGCCTAACTGTCGGAGGCACCTAGTGGGATCATATGGCTCTACTATCTTTGCAAATCTGAGTAGGCCCTGATACAAGGTACGTCTCACCGTCAGATGAGGACTCTGACCATACGGAGTCCAACAAACTGACTGAGGGGTTAAACTATCAATCGCCTGCCGATAATAAGCTAGCATTTGTGCATCCCTCTTCTTACTCGACTGGGGTGCTGTACCGCGCCACCTGAATGCTCCTGCCTGCACCTGCTTCAGCTCTCGTGGCTCCAACCGACTAGGCCTCAAGGTAGGAAAGTGGTCTTAAATCCAACACTGTAGTAAGACAACCCGCCACTCCCTTAGCCTCCGCCCGGGAGGCAATACCAAGCTGCCTGTACAAATAAGCAAGTGCTCCTGCCCCCCACGCGTACTCTCCTAGCATATCCGGCCTCTTCACAAACAAGTTGACAACAGCAGAAACGCGATCCTTACTCTTATCTACGAACAGTGTGGACCCAAGCAGCAAAAGAAGGTAACACTGAGCCTCTCTAGCTAGCGGACAAGACTGCTGCAAATGAGTCAAAGCTCCTACACCCAACAAACCAAATCCTCTGTACCACCTAGACAGATTGGCAACCTCGTCAACCTGCGCCCCGTACTCAGAATCGTCACGATCTAATCCTAGTAGTGCTCGGATGTCAGCCTCCAGTGCCCACTTCTCCAACTGCCTCGGATCCACTACCATCGCCTCTCCCTCAACCGCAAGCCCAAGAATGTGAGCCACGCCGTGAAGGAGGATCGTCATCTCTCCAAACGTCATGTGGAAGGTGTTGGTATCCGGCTGCCACCTCTCCACAAATGCCGAGATGAGAGCAGGGTCCAGCTCGCTCTAGAAGGTGATATCAACGAGGTGAGCAAGGCCCGATGTCTCTACGGTAGTCCTAGCGTTATCATCTGCTATCACATAACCGTCGAGAATGTGGCGAAGGGTCGAACTCCTGTCATAGCAAGTGATCACCCCTCTATCAGCCTCTCCAGTGTACAGACGGTGGGCAACATGCCCAAGAAAGCTACGGAGCAAACTCGGGTCGCTCGGTCCTCCAGCACACGGTCGTCTAGCCTCCCAGGCCTCTCACACATCAGCAGTACCACTATGGACCTCACCAGGCTGTGGAGCTCTGTAAAAACGCCCCGCATGGTCTCTATAGATCCCAGTAACAGCATGAACCCCAGTAACGACATGTGATGATCCGCTGGGGGCACCTCTGTCTCTGATCGGACTGACTGGTGGAATGCGATACTCAACAGCATCCGACTCATACTCCTCCGACTCGTCATCAATCTCGTCTGAAGGCTCAAACGGTGAAGCATGATCACGACTGGGACCCGATCCACTACCAGCCATACTAGGCAACTGAAAATCAAACTGAGGAAAACCGTCTGCCCTCATACTCATCGGTGTCACTAGTGGCTGTGACTGTGGCTCATCTCTATCATTTGGGTCCTTATTTCTCACACTAGCGCTAATGGGGCGCCCAATGAATCTTCTCAATCTCTTTGCAGCTCCTCCAGAATTACCAGGTGACGCCATCTCTAAACATAGTCAATAATTTTCTATTAATATCTTATAATAAATTATTTGTTGAGCAATTACTTGTTGTTTCATAGAGTAATTATGAAACATACATAATTGTTATCTAATTAATTTAACTAGATAGTTATTTTGCTTAACACGATATATAGTTATTTAAATATTTATTTCAACTTACTCAATTACTTAACTAAAATTTCATAGATAATTATTTAAAATTACCTATTATTTACAATTTATTTAGTCCAATAATTATTTAGATAATTATTATAATAAATTATATATTAGCATAGTCATAATTATTTATTAATCTCTTATAATAAATTATTTGATTAGCAATTTGTTTATAGTCATAATTTATCAATTACTAATTATGATACATACAACTTGGTTATCTAATTAATTTATAATAAATTATTTGATTAGCAATTTGTTCATAGTCATATTTATCAATTACAAATTATGATACATACAACTTGGTTATCTAATTAATTAAACTAGATAGTTACTTTACTCAATATGATAGATAGTTATTTAAATAATTATTTCAACTTAACCAATTAATAAACTAACACATTATATCAATGCTGTCAAAACCGAACCGGAGTATGACCCGGTATTGTGAACGGCTCGGACTTTAGTGGTTCAACCGGTATTGAGCCGTTAAAAACCGTTAGAGAACCGACACCTTATATAAAATATAATATCATAAGTAGAAAACAACTAAGGTAGTAATTTAACAATTTAATGACTAAAATGCAATTTATTTTACAGGTACCATTTAATAAATTTACCACATATATATATAACAACAAAGTAAAAACCCTAAATCTAATCCCCACCAACCCTTGAGAGCGCCGCTCACAGCTCTCCCCTGAACCCAACCACCTCCCCCCTCTCTCTTCTTCTCCATCTCTGTTTCATTTCTTCCCAAACTCTTTATGCATCTCTCTCTTACAACCACAATTCACAAATTCTCTCTGCCTCTCTCACCCTTACAGCGACGGAGATGAAGCGACAGGGTTGGAGGACAACGATCAGTTGGCTGAGCTCTTCTCTGCATACGAGGGTTGAGAACCCAACAACAACACTGCCGCCATCGGGAAGGAACACCGCGCTTCGATCGAAGAAGAAGTTGGAGTTTGATGGCGCTAGTGAAACCACAGAGGACGATGGGTTTGCCGGCAGCGGCTGCATCGTCGAGAAATCCCACCCCGGCGCGATTGAACCCTAGAAGCTTTCTGTCAATTTTTTTTTTAATTCTAAACGGCCAAAACCCAAAAACCGGTCGGACGGTTCGAGCGGCTCAAATGGTTAACCATTTCAGCCGCTCAAAAACCGACATTTCTGACCGTTTCGGCTATTGGAGGCTTCCGACCCGGGCTGGTGTCCGGGTGCCGGTTTTACCGGTCCGACCGACCGGCTCGGGTCGGCTTTAACAGCACTGCATTATATACTTAACAATTATATACTAATTATATAATTAACAATTATAGACTAATTATTCAACTATCAATATTAAACTAATTAAGATACTAACAATTGTATTTAAAATAAATATAATAAAGATCTATTTAAACCGAATCAGAAACCCAACCAGACCGGTCCGACCAGACGGGCGGGCGGGGTCCGACCAGACCGGGGGGGCGGGGTCCGACCAGACCAGGCGGACGGGTTCCGCTCCGGCCAGGCGGACCGCGTCCGCTCCTGCGTGTCGGACGGCGGCGAGACCGAATTAAAAAAAAAACTTACCTCGGCGGCGACGACTGGAACAACGGCGGCGGCTGCTTCTCCTAGGCGGTGGCGGCCGAGATCGGCAGAGGGAATGGGCGGAGGCGGAGCTCGGAAAAGTGACTGGCGAAGGTGAGCAGCAGGGGTGGGAAGTGAAGGCAGCAGAAGGGAGGGGTGAGATTTTGGGTAGTTAGGTTTAGGGTTTCTAAAATGAGGCAGGGGCAAAATCGTCATGTTTTTTATAACTACGGGCGGCAAATAGTAAAACTACGGGTGGCAAATAGCGATTCATTTCTTTTTTTGACTTTAGAACTTAGAAAATTCGCATCCTTTGCATTTCTCCCAATCAGCTCTTTTATAAGCTGAGAATTTGCGTGTTACGACCGTAACTTGGCTTGCCCGCCCGTAACTCTCCAAAAAACGACGTCATTGCTGCACTCCGTAAACCATGAGGTACGAATTCTTTGGCGGAGTTACGACGTCGAACGTAACTCCAAAGACGTCTCTAGAACTGATGTCGTCGCAACTCAGGAGTTACGGGCGCAAAGGCTGAGTTACGGCCAAGACCTTAACTTCGAAGTTCTAGCCGTAACTCCAAAAAGCTTTCTGGAATCTTGCATTCTCCACTCGCCATTTACACTCCTTGAGGGAAGTTATGGGCTAGACCGTAACTTGTAAGGTCTGGCCGTACCTCCTAGGTGCTCTCTACCCACTAGCTCTAGAATGTCCCGAAACTCGCTCCTTCGCGCCCGTGCACGCACTAAGGCCTGAAACATCATAAACTAACACACACAAGCGTAAAAGTGGCCGCGAGAGCGATAAACCAGACTAAAAAAATCAAGAAATTATGGGAAAAACATGTTCGATTATAGTGTTATTAGCTCCGTGCGCGCCTAGGGCTGCCGTGCAAACCTACAACATCTTTGAGGATTGGTATGTTCTTTTTAAATGGTAGTGATTTTTTTTCTGTAGTGGTAGTGTTTTTGTCGTATTGGTATTGTTTTTGTCGTATTGGTGTTGATTTTGTCGCATTGGTATTGATTAAATTTGCAATGGTATTGGTGTTTTGTGAAATGTTAGTATTTTTATTTCTCAAATGGTATTGATGATTTGTACAATGGTAGTTTTTTTTAATGGATTGTGATTTATTATTTTGTTATTGCAGCCAAGGTTCAAAAAGGCGCTAGGCATAAGGCAGGCGTTGAGGTTTTGCCTAGCGCCTAGCTCGCCTAGGCGTAGATTATGCGTGCCTAGGCGTTGGAAGAAAAATAGCTATTCGCACTACATGACTGATGAAATAATAATCTACAACACTTCTTCACTTCATTTAAAATGATTAATAACTTGCTCAACACTTAATGACAAGATCATACTCACGAATTCATAGAATCATAGCTCAATAGCTCACAAAGTTCTTGAGATATTGAAAATAGTGATATAGAAATTTGATTTCGTGGTTGATGTTAATTTTCTCCTTTAATATTGATTTCGTAGGAGAGACTTATATGTCACCTTACTTCATTAACGTGTTCCAGTATCTAATTAGGCGCGAAACCTCTAGGCGAGGCGTTTTGCTATTGCCTTGCGCCTAGGCGTGCCTAAGCGTAAGGTTAAGCGTGCCTTTTTGAACCATGATTGCAGCAGTATTAGTTTGGCTGAACGAAATCAAGGAAAGATTGAGAAAAAGAAGGAAGAGAGATCTGGCTGAAAAATGGTGGAAGTGAGAGAAAGAGAGAAAAGAATTGCAGTTAATATATTTATGTAATTTCCTAAAATTTAATTTATTAAAAAAGGTACTAATATTTTTTTTTGTTATAACCAGTTTTCCCTTAGTAACTACGGTGATCACTATTTTATAGTAATCACTGTAACTTGTCCC